GGTCCATTTTGTAGTTGGTTAGCAATAGGGTCAAATTTCATTCTGTATATGGATCTCCTCTTTCCCCAGAGGAACTGGAGAAGCTGACCTTTCTCCAGTGAACTTTTTGGTGCTTTTTTGAGACTCAATTGGCTATAGATGCTAATTTTGTTGCTGTTCTTGTTTTGTTTCTTCTGGCATCTCTATTTTTTCCCCTTGGTCTGTGTGTCCATTTTTAGGTTAGTGCTATGCTATGTTGGTTACTGTCTCTGTTTAGTGTTTGTGGTGCTTCCAGGTTTGTTTGTTTGTTTTCCTATTGCTATGAAAAATGTTATTGGTATTTTGGTGGGGCTTGTATGGAGTTGTAAGAATCATAACTTATTGGAATAGCATGGGCATCTAAATATTGTTAAAATTTCTAGTTCTGAGCATGGAAATCATTCCATTTTTGTTTCTTTTCATTCCTTTTTGCCAAAGTTTTAATACACTTTTTGTAAACATTTGTGAATTATGTACTTACTATGTTCATGTCTATTTGTGCATGCATGTATATAGGGGTGGTGTATGACACTGTACATATGGGTGGGTGGGGTCAAAGGACAACCCACAGGAGTGTGTTCTTTTATTCCACCATAGAGCTCTGGGGATCAGACTCAGATAGGCTTGGTGGCAAGTGCCCTTACCTGATGAACTATCTCTTCATTTATTGATTTGAAATTATTGAGCTATTCTTGGATCCCTGAAATAAATCCATAAATCCATCTTGATTATGGTAATTGTGTGTTTGTGTGTATGTGTGTTTGTGTTACTGTTTTGGTATCAAGGTAATGCTGAACTCATACAATGAGTTTAGAAGGTTTTCTTCCCCTTTGGATTCTTTAGAATAGTTTGGGAAGACTGTTAGTCCTTTCTTAAAGGTTTGGTAAAATTCAATAGTGAAGCCACCCAGTCCTGTGGGTTTTTTTTTTTTATAACTACTGGCTCAATATTGTTACTTTTTATTTTATTTATTCTTACAGTTTGATTTTGGCAGATCACATGTGTTCAGAAACTGACCTTTTGGTCAAGCTAGGTTTTTCAGTTTGTTGGCATGTAGGTTGTTTGTATTGGTATTGTAGTATTGATTGTAAGGCTTTCTTTCCACCTCTGATTTTATTTATTTGAGTCTTTTTCTCCCAACAATGTCTACGGAAGGTATATTGATTTTACTTGTCTTTTTATAAAATCAATGTTATTTATTTGTTAGTCTTTTTTATATTATAAAATTAAAATTATAAAAAACCACCATTTTCTTTACTTTTTATATTTGTTTTCCTGTTATGCTGTAGAATAAGTTTTCTGTACACTGCTGTGTGAATATAAGATGCTATAATTCATTTAATAAATAAACTGGTCAATAGCTGAACAGGATACAGTTAGGCAGGAAAGCCAAACTGGAGAATGATGGGATGAGGAAGTGTGTGTGTGGGGGGTCAGAGGAGTCTCTGGAAGACTTCCTTCCTTCCTTTCTTTCTTACTCCCTCCCTCCTTCCCTCCCTTCCTTTCTTTCTCTTTCTTTCCTTCTTTCTTTCTTTTTTGAGACAGGGTTGGTTGTCCTGGAACTCACTATGTAGACCAGACTGGCCTTGAACTCAGAGAGATCTGCCTGCTTCTGCCTCCTCAGTTCTGGAATTAAAGGTGTGTGCCACCACCATCTGACTTTAGTTTTTCTTAATTTACCAGAGAAATGGAATATAACTAAGGTATAAAAATTGATATTTTTACCCATTCATTTTGTTTGTTAGATATAATTTTTAAAATCATATGTTATAACTCAATAAGGAAGTTTTGGTATGAATTCATATGGAACTGTTCCAAACTGTGATTGATTAAATTCTACAGAGTATGTACTTGAGATTAAAAAAAAAAATGCTGATTTAATCTGGGAGTGATAATTGGAAATTAGAAAAATTATAATATTGTCTTTACATAGAACAATTGCGTATTTATACATTCTTAATCTATCTGAGTAAAGTTCTGCACTTTGTGCATTAAGGAAACTGTGAGAACTGAGTAGCATTAGAAAATGGCAGACAAAATTATCAGGTCAGTAGAGGCTTAAAAGGTTTATCCCTGCTGGGCGGTGGTAACACATGCCCCTAGTCCAAGCACTTGGGAGGCAGAGGCAGGCAGATCTCTGTGAGTTTGAGACCAGCCTGGTCTACAAGAGCTAGTTCCAGGACAGCCTCCAAAGCCACAGAGAAACCGTGTCTCAAAAAAACAAAACAAAACCAAGACAAAAGGTTTATTCCTTCAATGTGGGTAACCCTTGGTGACATAATTAAAAAGATCTGAAGAGCTGGAAGGAGAATTAGGCTTGATTTAATAGAACCTCTTGCTTAGTATAGGGTTTATCTTATGGTAATCCTGATAAGTGTCTGAGCTTCCCATTTGAATCCTTGATGATGTAGGAAATTTTATGTCTGCTACATACATAGAAGATTTATTTTTTTTGGTCTTGTTTGTGTATTTATTTAAAAAAACTTTTAGGATTTTCATTTGGCTTTCAGGGGAAGTATGACAGATTATTTGTATGTAATTAATTATAATTAAGCACCAAGTCACTGAAGAATTATCAGGCAAAAGGCTAGTGTAACTTATTGAAAAGGGAGAATTCTCAATGCATTTGAGTGTTTTAACTGCAAGCATTTATTTAATTTATCTGTTTACTTAATCATTTCTAGGGAAAATGCCATTTCTTTTTTCAGTGTTTCATGTGGGAAATTTTCTTCATATATAAAGATAAATAAGTCAGTTTTTCCTCAGATATAGGCAAAGCAATCATATTCTCTGAGTCAATTCACTCATGTTTTTGTTTGCAGACGAACCCTGTGATAGTAAAACAAATGACCCACTTGCTTGGCTGATAGACTTCATGTTAGATACCTTTACATCACATGTTCAAAATATCTGGGAACAATGTGTAGGGAGGAATTGTTTACTTTGGCTCCCAGTTTCAGAGGTGCCAGCCCATCATGACTCGAAGGGCAGGTTGGAGCAGAGAAGTTCATATTTTAGCAGCCAGAAAGGAAAAACAGACTAGAGCCACTTAGAAGACTACCTCTTTCCAGAGACCCACCTTGTACCCCCATCTTTCACCTGTATTGTGATAGTATGAATCTATCAAGGCATTTATCCATTAATTAGGTCAGTGTCTTTGGGTTTTAATTATCGTTGGACTGCCTTCACAGGCATACCCAGACTATACTTCACTAACCTCTCAAATATTTATTCTATCAGCTATTACAGAGTCCATGGCTTCTTTGACTTGGAAAGTTCCCTGTTTTCCCCCTAGACAGTACTTTTAGTTACTCTGTAGGGAAGGAGAAACGGAATCTTGCCCTATTGTAGTTTTTCTTTTTCTTTTTCTTTTTCTTTTTCTTTTTCTTTTTCTTTTTCCTCTTCCTCTTCCTCTTCAGCTTCTTTTTCTTTTTCTTTTTCTTTTTCTTTTTCTTTTTCTTTTTCTTTTTCTTTTTCTTTTTCTTTTTCTTTTTCTTTTTCTTTTTCTTTTTCTTTTTCTTTTTCTTTTTCTTTTTCTTTTTCTTTTTCTTTTTCTTTTTCTTTTTCTTTTTCTTTTTCTTTTTCTTTTTCTTTTTCTTTTTCTTTTTCCTCTTCCTCTTCCTCTTCAGCTTCCTCTTCCACTTCCTCTTCCTCTTCCTCTTCCTCTTCCTCTTCCTCTTCCTCTTCCTCTTCCTCTTCCTCTTCCTCTTCTTCTTCTTCTTCTTCTTCTTCTTCTTCTTCTTCTTCTTCTTCTTCTTCTTTTGTTTTGGTTTTTCGAGACAGGGTTTCTCTGTATAGCTTTGGAGCCTATCCTGGCACTTGCTCTGGAGACCAGGCTGGCCTCGAACTCACAGAGCCCCCCCTGCCTCTGCCTCCCGAGTGTTGGGATTAAAGACATGTGCCGCCAACTCCTGGTGGCAGTCTTTACTTTCACTGAGGCCAAAGTGGATTTTAAGACAAAGTCATCTTGTTGGGCCATGTGAGTTAGTGTTATCAACTTTGCAGGGTATGTGATACACTACTCAGGCATCAAGAAACTATTTAGGTAATTCCATTGCATAGTTCCTGAAAACAGAGTTTTCCTTAAGTCCTGAAGCATTGTAGAATGCTAGTAAACTGATGTTGCTTGAACATGATTTCTACTAATTAGTTTGCTTTATATGTGAGGAAAGTCACTTTCAAACTTTTACAAAAGTGATTAAAATGATTATGAAGTTATGACAATATATCCCTCAACAAGAAATGCAGTTCCTAAATTAGTCCCTTTTTTGTTTGTTTGTTTGCATCACTCTGTCACAAACACATGAATGGCATTGCTGAATTGTGTGGTTAAACATTTTGGTTCTGAAGTAAGACAACTGTTGGTCACATGTCGTGCTTCCAACTTAAGCATGTGACCTTAGTTAGACAAACTATTTAGCTTTTCTGTGAGTTAGGTTGTATTTATCTCTGGAGAATAGTAATACTTCATAGAGTTGTTGTAAGTGTGGATGAGAAATGCATGAGATGTTAGATTCAAAACCTGCAGATTTTAATCTTTAAAGAGCCAGTAGAGAACAGACAAGAGACAACTTAGGAGTTAATAGGAGAGAGTGGTGCTAACCAAAGGGAGTAAGAATGCTGCCTTAGCAGAACTTTTAAAACTGGAGAAGATTAGCATAGTCCCTGAACAAAAGGGAGTAATGAGTGGTATGTGAAGTAGCAGAGATTGTTGTAGCTTGAATTTTGAACAGCAATTAAATTGTTTTACATTTGTTACAGAAATTATTTATTCTTCTGTAATAAATATAGTGATGTTAAATAGAAGATGAGAAATAAGGAAAAATATAATGAATTCTATTCTGTCTAAAAGATGTTCTATAGTGTTTTTATGAAGAAATATATAGAATTTAGCAATCCTTTCCCTAAAGACTGAAATAACATTGCTTTACTGAGGATGCTGAGATGACAAGCGCATAGCTTCTGTGATGAATTCTTTTTTAAGTGGAAGAGGCAGAGGGAAAAGAAGAGCGCTTCAGGCCTTTGGATCCCAGGATGCTGAAGTAGATCCATGAGTGAATAAACTTAGGGCACATTTGGAAGATGCACGATGATTCTGTTCTTATGACAGCCAATATTTCTCTTTCTCTTTTCTTTAGTTGGAGAACACCAACTGACAGGCCATAAAGTGGCAGTTAAGATCTTAAATAGACAGAAGATTCGCAGTTTAGATGTTGTTGGAAAAATAAAACGAGAAATTCAAAATCTTAAACTCTTTCGTCATCCTCATATTATCAAACTGTAAGTATTTTTGTGTTTGAAAATACAAACAAGTCCTGAAATAGTTAAAACAAAATTTTATAAACATTGTGAGTTAATTTTAGAAAATATCAGTTTTCATGTTCATATTCAGTTTTAATTTTAATTCATTTCACCTCTGTCAGTTCTTCAGTGCACATACTTGGTTTAGAATTCAAAGCCATTGCTTCACCATTGGTAGTATTCAAGTGGTAAGCATAGCCTTGGAAGTTGGTTCTTGAGTATTCATTCTGCAGATCACTTGGGCATTCGATACTTCTAAGTTGGTTCTTTTGTTTTATTTATTTCTTCCATTTTTAATTTAAAAGTAACAGCAGGACAGGTGTGCTAGCATATTACAGCAATGTCACTTGGAGACCAGGGCAGGAGGATCATGAATTTGAGGTCAACCTGGGCTACATAGTAAAACTGACAAATAAATAAATAAATAAATAAATAAATAAATAAGTAAATATAGAGCTACAAGCTAGTTAGTAAAATAGAAAGACAAATTAATAAGATATATACATAATCTAGACATTAAGTGTGCAGTAATATTCTATAATATTTAAAGTTCTACTTTTGTTGAGAATAACATAAGCATTCTAGACACAGAAAATTATCTTTATTGTACCTTAAAGCTTGGATGCAGTTTTTATAAAATAAATGTTCATTTGACTTACTCAAGGAGTAACGGTAGCCAGGAATAATGCTGAGCATTCTACATTTATAATTCCATATTGTCATTATGACAAGTCTGTAGGTAGGCTTACTTCATAGATAAGAAGACAGCATATCTAACAGATAGATAACTAGAAAAGTAAAATTGTGGCTCCATGGTTTTACCCAGTTAGATTTATATATTGTTACTCAGATATGTAAAACAGTAACTAGGTATAAACCCAATATGATGCTTTGTAAAGCCAAATTATGTAGTGAATTTAGTAGTGGAAATAGAGAGCCAATCTATATCTTGATTCAGATAAGTTTGCCACATAAGAAAGCTTATTTAAGAGTAGTATAAAGAATCCACATGCTGGTGTTGGTGGCACACGCCTTTAATCCCAGCACTCTGGAGGCAGAGGCAGGTGGATCTCTGTGAGTTTGAGGCCAGCCTGGTCTCCAGAGCGAGCGCCAGGATAGGCTCCAATGCTACACAGAGAAACCCTGTCTCCAAAAACAAAACAAAACAAAACAAACAAAAAAGAGTCCACGTAAAGTGGTCCTCCCAAGTAGCACACAAGGATGAGTCATAAAAAGACCTGAGCAAGGATTTCATGAGCAGATGTGAGAAGGACTCTGCTTGCTAATGGAGCCTTAAAAGATGGAGGAAGGGGCTCTGAGACAACACAGGACTGCCTCCAAAAGCCAAAAATTCAAAGAAGCGGACTTTGCTCCTAGACTCTCCAGAAGGCATCTTAATTCATGTCAGCTTTCTAATCCACAGAACTATAAGATAATGTATGTGCGTTGTTTTCAGCTTAAGTTTGAAGTATGGAGGCAATAGAAACCAGTGCAACACTGTGCTGGTTAATTTTCATCAGCTTGACAAACTAGAGTTACCTGGGAAGAGAGAATCCCAGTTAAGGGATTTCCCTGTCAGTTTGATCTATAGGTATGTCTGTGGGGCATTTTCTTGATTAATGACTGGTATTAGAGGGTCTAGCCCACTGTGAGCAATGCCAGCCCTGAGAGGATAGTCCTGGGTTGTATAAAACAAGATGAACAAGCCACAGAAAGTGATCCAATAATCAGTGTTCTTTCACAGTCTTTACTTGAGTTCCTGCCTCCAGGTTCCTACCTTAAATTCCTTTAGTTACTTCTCTTCATGATGGAATATAATCTGTAAGATGAAATAAACCCTTTCCTCCCCAAGTCACTTTTGGTCAGTGTTTTATCATAGCAACAGAGAAGCAAACAGAACAAAGAGTTATTTGTGATTTATTCTCCCTCCAACAAGGAAAGCCCTGGCTGTCCTGGAACTCACTATATGTAGAGCAGGCTAGCCTCAAACTCACAGATAGCTGCCTGTTTCTGACTCCAAGTGTTAGAAATTAAAGACAGGTGCTACCATGACCAGCTTGTGGATTCCTAAAACTAGTGGTTGGTTCAATTATTATAGGCTTTGAAATATTTAGTTTTTAATTATTGTACTTTTTGTCAATGAACTATTGCAAATTAAAATATTTGGTGATGGAGCTCACACCATCTTGCCAATATCAAGAATATGCCACTTACTGTTCCCATCTGGCTAATACTTGGTTTGGTGTGCCACTGCGTGACATAATTGCCATGAGACTTTCAGTTTTATAGTAAGCTTCAAAGCTGTGGGATACTTCCTTTAGGTTCATTCCATCATAAACAGAGTCAGTGGCAGTATTTGATTTTAAGACTGTCCAGTGCCAGGTGCTGGATGACCCTAGAATGTGCATCTTAAAGTTTTGGAAGATTAGTGTAAAATATAACCTATCAAGGACAATGCACCTCTCCTCCCATTCGTTTTCTAACTTTTGAATGGGATGCTTCAAGGGTTATGTAAGAAGTAACTGTTGGCATTGGTGGAATGCCTAATTTGTGATAAGCATTGGCCTCCTGTGAGCTGATTCTCCTTGAGCTGACTCCAAGTAGTTCTCAGTTAACTGAAGCAGTTCATATCCCTTTTTTTTTCCCCTTTTAAAAGACAGTCTTGCTGTGTAACTTGGGCTGGCCTAGGACTTCTGTGTAATTCAGCTGACCTTACAATCAAATTCACAATCCTGTGTAACCTAAGCAAATTCACAATCCTGTGTTTGCTTCCCTAATGCAGAGGTTCTAGGCCTGTGACACTGGTCCTTCTCATATCTGACTTGACTAAATGTTTGTAATGATGTCGGTGGCATGTAAGCTGGTTTTTGTTGCTTGGTAACTATTATGTATGAGAAATGGCCAGACTTTATGCTTCGGCTTCACTTTCAGAATGCTAACCCTGAAAGCTCCTATTTGGGGTATGTGACCTAGATTTGTTCTGCTCTTACAACATAGATTGCATTTGCCACTATTCTAATTCAATTTCTGTTGCTGTGGTAAAATAGCCTGACAAAAAGCAGTTTAGGGGAGCAAAGGGTTTGTATAATTACATGTTACAGTCTGCTGTTAGGGGGACGTCAAATCAGAACACAGTAGCTAGTCACATGTCCACAGCCAAGAGCAGAGAGAAATGGAATGCCCCCTGCTGGTCACCTGCTGCATGCTTATACTCAGCTAGCCCTTTTCGCTCTTAAGCAGTTCAGGGCCCACCCCATAAAGTGGTGCCACCACAGCAGGCTGAGTCTCCCTACAACAATTAACAACACACAGTCCCCAACAGACATCCAATATATAGTCTCATCTGATCTAGATCATATCTCAGGTGGGCGATCCTTCTCAGATGACTCTAGGTTGTGGCAGAATGATGATTAAAACTATCATCATTTTTACAGTCAGTAAAAATCAGTGGTTGTTATGGAATTTAAAATCTTATTTCTAACATAATTTATCAGGCTTATCTTGTCCTTGTTTCTATAATTTAACATTCCTTGTCTCATTCTGATTTAAAACTAGTTATTGTTACATTGTTCTAAAGTAGGTACAGAACCGCCTCATAGTTGATTAGCAAGTAATTAGTAAAGATGAACCCAGTGCTTAAAGCTCTTGATTTTTCAGCTATGAGCTTAAGTTATTCACATTGCTTCTTTAATTGTAAATCTGAATTTTTTAAAAATGAAAAACACTCATGTTTTCTTCCTACTGAGACTTATTGACATAGCCTCTAATAATGTTAGAGTTAGAGAGAGAGAGAGAGAGAGAGAGAGAGAGAGAGGAAGAGGGAGGGGGAGGGGGAGGGGAAGGGGGAGGGAATAGAGGGAGAGGGAGAGAGAATGTGTACATGTGTGTGTGTGAAGGGGCAATGGGAAGTAGGCAATAAACCCATAATAGTCAATGTGTCATTTGCAGTAAAGATGTAAGGAACCTGGAAGAGGAATATTATACACAGAACAGCTAACAATACAAAGGACTTGAAGTGGAAAACCCTGCACTCCAGTAATTAAGGGAGCAGAATGATCTAGGGCAGTAGTTCTGAACCTGTGAGTCATGTCCCCTTTGGGGGTCACATATCAGATAACAGTAGCAAAATATAGTTATAGTTATGAGCTAGCAACCACAATAATTTTATGGTTGTGGTCACCACAACATGAGGAACTGTATTAAAGGGTTCACAGCATTAGGGAGGTTGAAACCCACTGATCCCTAGGGGTTTAGAGTGATACAATCAGAGACATAAAGGGGAGTCAGACTAGCATGCTAAGGACTTTAACTTCCACTCTTGAGTAAGATGAAAAGTCACTGAAATATGTTGACCAAAGTGAGACGTCATCCAACTTAACATGCAGACCATATTTGGGCAAATCCTGAAGTAAGGAAAAAAGTCAGGAGTCAATTGCAGTAGTCTGGGTGAAAGGTGATGGTGGTATAGAGTACCACACCATGCGATAGATGTTTTATGCCTGCTCTGTATATGCTTTCAGGGTGGAGTTAACATTTACTGAGAGAAAACATAGATTTATGAAAGAAGAATAACTCCAAGTACCTGGGATGGGTAAATAGAAGACTATTGTTGCTAGTGACTAAAGGGAAAGGTTCCATGAAGAGCAGGTTTGTGATGGTGTGTTAGGAGTTAGTATCAAACATTTGACTTTGGTTTTCTGAAGCTGACAGGAGGCATCCTAGTGAGGATGTTCTTGAATAGCTGAGTCTGGAATTCAGGGCAAAGTTATATATAGATAGTCTCTTAGGGTTTCTATTGCTGTGAAGAGACACCATGGCCATGGCAACTCATGAAGGAAAACATTTCACTGGGGCTGGCTTACAGTTCATAGGGTTAGTCCATTATCGTCATTGCAGGAAGCATGGTGGCATACAGGCAGACACAGTACTAGAGAGGTAGCTGAGTGTTCTACATCTGAATCCACAGGCAGCAGAAAGAG